GTTGGGCACCACTTGGGTCTGAATATGACTGGCTGACGACGGCTAACAAGCCAGAAATTGCCCCTTCAGCCTCCCTTCTCTTTGCCGGCAATGCTATCTGCATATTTTAATCCTTAATAAAAGCGCAGAACCAACAAATGTCTCTGTAAAAGTGGGATTTTAATTACAATGAAACCGTCAACTATCATTCAGAATCAAACTAGGTCATTAACAGAAGACGTGCTGGTTTGTAGTCAGAACTTGAGTTCTGCTCGGGAGACTTACCTTGTCTGGTCGGATGCAGCGTAGAACAATAAGCCTTCGGAATTGGTCCAAATTTTGCTGCCAAGGTTCTGGCAGGGGAGTGGTCTCGGGCGATTTGCTGTCATAAAACTTTTTCCAGACTGGAAGGTTGTCCCGCAGATGCTCATTGATACCTTTGAAGACCTCAATGTCAGCCAATCGACACAATTCATCCCAACCCTTATCAGGCAGCCAACCACCCGAGGGATTAGCCAGTTTGTTCTCCAAGCCAACACCACCAGTGAGGAAGAAGAGGAACTCATTTGGATTTAGGTCCTTCTTAGCCCTATGGAGCAAAAGATCAAACAGGCAGCTGTGTAAATGAAGATCGCAGCCATGTGGTGGGGTGCTACGCTCATGCAATTGCCACCATAGCCTTCCGCTCGATGCCTATTGTAGATGCTAAATTTTGAATGGTTGGCTATTATACTAGTAATCCTCGTCTTCCGAGTGATTGAACATAATCGATTACAAAATTGTACATGTGCATATGTCACTCACTATTTTATAGCAACATATTTTATGTTGGATATTTTATGTAAACTGTTTTCAATATAGTCTTTAAAGGCATTGCCTACTACCCTAAATATACTGGACTATAATGATTCAAACAATGCTACATGACGTCCTAGCACACTGTTAACACTGTTGGAATTCGAAGGACGACATCCAGTACTCCAGCTTATCAGTTGATACAAGAATACTCTCCCGACTTGAATATTTTACCAAACATCAGTTTATAAAACAATTTGGGTGACACCTTAACGGGTACCTCCGTGTGCGATAGCCGATACTGGATCTTAGACATTTCCTCGTGATTCCACTTCGTATTTGTGATCACAACAGGATGTCGAGTATTTGTGCTGTCCAATTGTGAAATATGATAGTTTTCAAGTTAATTTTTTGATCGTCGTCATCTCTCCATACGTTTGGATTGTTGCGACATAATAACAGTCTAAGTCCCTCACATTGTTCCAACTGTGCGTAATATCCAATGGAGGTTGCCACAGTTCTAAAGCAGGAAGACTAATTGATGTGCACAACGCCTCTAGGTGTCACTGAAATCTGACAATTGCAAACGTTTTTGCACGAAAAATTGAGGAACTGGCGTATTCCAACAGACCAAAAATACTAATTTTGCATGTCGAAATTCTGTAAAACCACCCAAAACCTAGTCCTAATGATTAAGTTCGTTCGATTTCGGGCTTCTGTTGGACCATCTCTCGAGCCTTTTAAGAGCTGGTTAAGGGCGATCACAAACTAGCCTGGTTGAGCAAGTATAATTGTAAAGGTTCAGAAGAAGAAGATGCAACCACTGGAACAAGAATTTTATTTTCCTCACGGTTCGGATTCTGTCGAGAATCCTTAATCATAGAGAATCGCAGGATAGTTTGGACATGCGCGAATAGGAGTTATACATGCACAGATAGCACGGTATTTATAATTCATAGCGGTTATCCGCATGCGTACTAAAATTACTAGCTCCTCTAGCCACCACTTGGGGTCTTAATTGGTGCGGTGATGGCTTGATGCTTCGCGTTTGGCTCATTAGTGGCCGCGATTTCCTTGGTCGTGACGGATGCTGGCTTGATAATTGCGCGTCGCATCTTCTTATTCTGAACTGGAACTCGCATATTCACTTCTATTGGAAATCGTAAAGTTTGTTCGGCCTCAATAAAAATCGACCAAAATTAAGTACCACCAGACTATTTGGGTGAAGCCTAGCTAGTTTGTGGGATGCAACCAACGAAATTTGATAGAAATCATACATCGGGCCAGTCAGTTAATACAATCGCATCTCCAAGTGATTTGATTCATTTCTCAGAGTAAAGTGTGCTAAGGTGCTGCGCGCTCCTTCGGGCTGAAATCAAAAGCGCACGCAGATGTCATCTTTCTCAGAGAAGATGGTGTTCTTGGGACATGGCCTACAAGTAGTCGTGCGGGCTTATGAGTCCAAGTACGGGGATTTCAGTTCACTTTAGGGAAAAATATGTGAGCGCCTCTGAACTCTCTACAGAAAGCTTAAAGTCCCGAACCCACGCTTGAAGTTATTATGGGTGTAAGGCGCACACATTCCTAACTAAAATGTACGAAAAAATATGTTAAATCTAGTGGATATTCTTGTATAAGTTGTCCTCTTTTGAACTTTGACTTAAAAAAAGTAGTCTGACCCGCTTGTGAAGAACTTCGTGGCCTCGGTAAGGCTCGAATCCCCGTTAGCAAGGGGCAGGCTTTAGCACAGCCAAGTCTCTAGCCAAATGAGCTACACGGATCCAACCGAGAGCCTTGAGTTTACTCACACTTAGCTCAGTTTACTTCCCGAAGCCGCCGAGTTTTCACGAGTGGGTCAAATGAATTATTAAAATCTGCCAACCCCCCCCCCTCTGCAAAGTAAGTGTGCCTATCAGCTATTTAGTGTATTACAGAGAGATCGCTTAGGAAATCTAGCTTGGACAGTGAGCTTGTAGTGGCCTTTTGCAGCCACTTGGAACCCAAGATCAGCCGCTGACGCATGGCGCCTTTAGCCTGCCTGCGCGCCCACTGCCTCCTGGGGCTAGGCGCTAACTGTCCTTGACCGACGCGCACATACGTCTCAGTGTGACCGCGCGCTCAAGTTCGCTCCACGCCGCTAGTCTAAACATTAGCCGCGCCATTGGCCGCTGTAACAAAGCATGCATCGACACTGTGGCGATTTCTGATGCCCTCGTCACTCCGGAATTGACGCCCTGGCAGCCGGATAGTGGTCATCCGAGAGTCAAAACTCTTTCCATCTATGCTCCTATCCTTCTGCAGAATACACTATTCCTGACAATCTGGCTTTCCCACAGTCTTCTCTCTCCTCACCATAAGGAACCATGGGCTTCGAAGGTCGAAGCTGTCAGGGTTAAGCCTTTTAGCCTTAACACCTGTCGATAAGCTTACTGTGTCAGAATTGGTAGATTCTGAGTAGTAGATTGGACGGGTAAATCGACCTGCAGTAGATTCACTATCTCATGCAATAGCTGCCAGAATTCTGAAATAGGTTTTCGATTGGAACATATTAACTGCGGATGGTTGTAATATAGATGATCATGCAGCTTAATCTCAACTTATTTTAGACACTACAGGACGCCGGCCTTCTAACGAGCTTCTTTCTGACCGCCAAGACAAAGCATTTACTATAAAAAGGGACTACTTAATAGTATGCCTTTTCGTCATTTATTTCGACTGCCTTTATAGATTAAAATATATTTTTTGGAAAACATGCATGAAAAAATTATTTTTTATACTCTTTTGGTAGCAAATTACGTTTTCTTTAAATTTTATACTTAAAGGAAGGGTATCTTTCGGTTTTAAAAAAAGTTTCTAAATTGCCGAATAATTTTGAAACCTACTGACTGCTACACTCGAATTCAAGGTTTAGAACTGCGCACTGTGTACATCCTGTTTAAGGAAAAGTACGTTTTCGCCTACAGCTTGACGAAGATCTTACACAGTTCCCATAAAATATTGCAATAGATGTGGAGTATGCTTTATACAGTAAAGGCAGCATTAACAAATGACGGATAGGGTGTTCACTGAATGAACACCTAAAAATTGTAAAAAAGCTCATAATTAGAACTTTTTTAAAACCGAAAGATACCCTTTCTTTAGTATAAAATTTAAAGAAGGCGTAATTTTCTACCAAAAGAGTACAAGAAATAATTTTTTCAGCATGTTTTCCCAAAAAATATATTTGAATCTATAAAGGCAGTCGAAATTAATTACAAAAAGGCATACTACTTAAGAATTCACTTTTTATAATACATATTTTGTCTTGGCGGTCAGAAGGAAACTCGTTAGAATGCCGGCATCCTGAAGTGTCTAAAATATGTTGAGATTAGGCCATATGATCAACTCTATCACAACCATCCACAATTAATATGTTCCAATCGAAAACTTATTTCAGAATTCCGGCAGCTATTGCGTGAGATAGTGAATCTACTGTAAGGGTGAATTAACTCACGACTCCCGGTGGGGTCCTCGTAGCTCAGTTGGCTAGAGCGTTGGCTGTATTAATGCCTTTCCCTTGCTAAAGTGGGCTAGAAGCGTACCGAGTCCTGCGCGTTTTTCACAAGTGGGCCAAATGAATTATTAAAATCTGCCAACCCTACATACTAACAACATTCTACTAACAAGGCATCAATGTCGGAAAACATGTATGTCTTCTTGCCTACGCCGAAGAGCCATTTGTGCCTCCAATGTAAACAAACGGTTTTTAAAAAAAAACAGAAATAACTTCCAACAGACAGGAACACACCAACAGACAGACTCACATCATCAGTTGGCTGCACAAAATCAATGAAAATAGGAGCTTGTGCATTTCAAACAGTGACCGGCACACATTCACGTAAAGGCTGTAGGTGAAGTAGTCAATCAGATAGCGGATACGCTTCTCCAGAATCTTTGACTTGTTGCTGGGCGGGGGGTGGTGCAGATGCAACAACAGTAGCAGCAGCAGCGGGATGGAGGGGATTTGGAGAGGAAAAAGGGCGGTGCGATAAAAACAAAACTGTGCACAAACGGTGGTTGTACAAACAAAGTGTGGATTGGATTGTCTTAAATTTGCGAAAATTCCCATGGAAAAATTCAGAAGATTAATTGGCCAACATACGTTTGTTTTCGATAAATTCTCGTCAGGTCTTTACATTTATATGATAATTAAGTAAATAAACTATACTGGTTGGGGGAAAAAAACAACTAAGAACATGGCTGAAAGACCGCCAAAACCCTCAGTGTTAACAGCAGAGAAGAAGCTCATATTCATCAGGGTCCCATTTCAAGGGGACGGACCAAGCAAATTTCTAAGGAGGCGCCTGAGGCAAGTTGTAGCAACCACCTTCCCAGCAGCCACGGCCCATCTACTGTTATCGACTACTGCCATCTTATACGGAGAGATCAAGGACAAACTACCAGCCCAGACCATCTCTATGTGCATATATTCATTGACCTGCCTCTGTGGGGCAGGACATATTAGTCGCGCGAGCCGGCGTTAGTCCAAAAGAGTACGAAAATACATTCCACCATGGTTAGGAAAGGGCCAACCAAAGGGTGTACACAGTTCTACTCGAGCGCACCTGGTGGACTCAGACCATCGCGTAGATGCCAAAAAGGCCTACCGAGTGGTCTACAAGGTACCCTCAAGCTATTCAACATTTCTTGGACAGCATCTGCTGGCTACGGCAGAAGCGGCCGCCATCAGGCTACGCCGACCGGTCGTGTGCGCCCAAAAAAACTTCGTCACGGCGCCGCAGTTACCATGGGAAAATGCCGCTAATCCAATAGCCAGCAGCTAATCACCTCGGCCGACTACCAGTCTCCCCTAACGCTGATCAGATTCTGACCCCGATCCCCCCCCCTTCCCCTTGCCCTGACAACCGTACCATTTTTTTCCACCAATCATCATAGTTTATTGATTAAATTACCATATAAATGCAAAGGACTGATGAGAATTTATCGATAACAAAAGTATGTTCGCCAATTTATCTTCCGAAAGTGCAGTAAAAAGATGTTAAGCCTTCAGAACAACGACTAGAGAGGTGCGTAGTGCTGCAGGAACCATCAGGGCCGCTTCTGTGTGCTTCCAGTGCCCAAATGTCATAGCCTGCGCACTTACATGCTAATTTTGGTGCAAAGAAGCATCGAAAATACTATCCGATGTTGCTCGAACAGCCCTCTGCAGACGTTCACGTAGAGGCTGTACTCAAAATGCTCCCGTAAGTAACGCAGACGTCTTTCCAGAATCTTGGACTTGTTACTAACAGACATAAAGGTGAAAAGATTTCATTCTTCTTTGACAGTAACCTCCAAAGTTGGTAAAAGGTAGTCTGCAGGTTACAAAAATTAGATGAAAAAAACTCAAACCTATAGTGAGCACGACGAGGATTTGGAGAAAACCTCAGTAGTAAGGCTTGTCTAGCGGGTAATTAAGATAGCTGTGCTCCAAGGACACTCTTCATTTCAGAATATGAGTCAGTATGGCAATATGAGTTTATTGGAGCCGCGTGAAGATTTTGTATCAGCGCAATGCAACGTTTATGAAGAAAATAACTTAAGTAACTTGCCTTATGTTGACTTAATTGGAATTTAAACGGATCACTCAAACTGCAAGTTTCTTTAAGGTCTCTACAAGGCCCTTGACGCAGATAGAGCACCAGATGATAAGCATTAAGCCAGGTCACTGAGACTAATGACCGTAAGTGCATATATTGAATAGTTCTAACGAAGGCAGCAGGA